GTTTTGATTATCATTCTGAATCCAATTCATAGTCTTTTTCCAGCTTTTTGTTCAAAATGTAATTTCTTTTTTAAATTTTTATTTATGAAACTTACCCACATTCAAGTGTTTAAAAAAGAATGCATGAAGCTAGAATAAAATGTTTTTGTTTACAAGCAGATACCCTGTTCTTTTGATGTTTTGTATGTTCAGATATTCATATAACAAAATATATACAAATTAATACCTAAATAGGGACGTAGTAGTATACTTAAAGTATGATGTAAAGTTCACTTAAAGAACTTATGAGTATACTTGCAGTATAAAACTACTAAACTAGTAGTTTACTGAGACTATACTTTAGTATACTAAAATGCTACAGGTACTTAATTAGTAAACTATCAGTATACCTATTAGTTCACTTTTAGTATAGTTGCAGTACAAACTAAAAACATATATGTAAACTAGTTGTGTACTGAAAGTTTACTACTGTTATACTAAAAGTATACTTTTATATACAAAGTGGGCCAATTAAGTCCCAAGGAGTATTGAAATAGTACACTTACTAGTATACTACTAGTACACTGATATTTGTATACTTGCTACATAAAGTATACTTAAAAATATACTTGAACTTTACTTAAGTATACTTACTAAAATAAACTTGAAGTATACTACTTTTTGGTAAGGGTAGTCTTTTGTTCATCACCACTCACCTCCACACCAAGACAAACACAACTGGAAAAGGAGGGAGGGCTTCACTTCTGTGATGTGCAGGTCAATGTGTGCTACACTGCTGTGCTGCGGAGACGCGGAGGGAGAAAGGCATCAGAACTCGACAGTCTCAACATTTCCCGACCTGACCTGATATTTAGATTTTTTATTTGTTTGACAGGGAGAGCTGTGCGCAAACAGAAACACACACACACACACACACACACATATGTATATATATATATATATATATATATATATATAAAACACTTCCCAGAAAAAAGGCCACTTTCTTTCAGGAAGAAAAAGGGCAGGTGCTCAAGCCCCCTTTGATGTCTATGTGTGCACGTGCCTGCTCAGAAAATAATATAATTGCACAACTGGACAAACATGCATGCAAACAAACAATTAATGGTTAATTCCCAGAAACAAATATTGTATGATTGGACATACAAACAAACAAATAATGGTTTATTCTCACAAATTATAATACAGAAAAATATATAAAAATATACAATTTAAATTTAAAACGATTTTATTAAAATCAAACAAACAAACAAACAAATAAATAAATAATGCTCGATTCTTAAAAAAATACTTATACTAGGAAAATCTTTTAAAACCATTGTAATCCCAGTGTGAATATATTAAATGACACACAGAGGCTCTTGAGTGTGCAGCACGCGCATTGAAGTCCCAGACTTCCCATAATGCTTCAGTCACGTGGCCCACTTTATGAAGCCAGACTGTCAAATCTGAAACTTCCTGGGCTGCGATGCAGTACATGCAAGACCATGACATTTACTTCAGCCGTGTAACTCGTCAAAGGATCGCGCGTTTGTAAGGAGTCAAGCTACTTAAAGCGATTAGCGTGGGCAGTTGTGTGTGTGTGTGTGTGTGGAGTAGTAGAGCGGGTTTGTTGTTTGAGGAGGATGTGTGTGTGCTGACAGCGGCACGAGCGGCAAACCAGCAGCTCCTTATATCTGTGGAGGAGCACGGCATGAAGAGATCAGGTAAGATCATCAGGTATTTAGCTGCACCAGTGTCGTGTGTGTGTCTATCTGCGCGATATAAAGTTGTTTTGCATGTCAACGGGCCTTCAGTCACAACACTGATACATTCGATGATTGTTGTTTTGATGGCTCGTGATCCATCCACTCATGTTTTTACTCAGAAAGTCACTACTCAGTTGTATTAATCTTTGTATTTTGGATTATATGTGTTCATATGTTATGTACAGTCCATATGTTATGAGTTAGCCTACTTATATTAATAGTTTGATGATGTCATGTGCTTCTACTGCATCTTTTCGAAAAGATCTAGATCTCAGATTACAGTCTGTCTGTCTTCTTCTTGAAAAAAAGTACTGTGGAGGTACCATGGTATAGTGATAGTAATACCATATTGCTTTGATATATAGCCTATCATGCTTTTGAATGATTACCATATGTATACATAATAATTCAAGCTTCTAAAGAATGGCATTGCACTATCGTGGTACATGCATACCAGCATGTTTTCAATTCTCCCATATGATACTTCTTGGTACTTCTGTCTGTATTTGCGCGTGTCTGGTCTGATTATATGAATGATGTTGATAGAGTCAAATTCCAGTACTAATTTGGCACAGCTGCTTATTATTTTGGAATTTTCCACTATTAATCTTCTGCTTCTCCCATTTTCTCACAAAATGTTTTTTTCTTGCGTAAACCAGCTAAACCAGTTGAGTACCAGTCCAGCCAGGCTGGGTGGACAGCTTAAATATTATATTGGCTGGTTTAAGATGGTGTTTTCAGCATGGTTGTAAAAACATAATATACTATACATGTTTAATTTAATTCAGCTAAATCCCTGCCTGCTGAAATATTAATGCAGCTCAATTATGTGATTACTCCGTTACCCTCAGCTGATGATGAATGGTCTGTATTCAACCCCTCAAATTCAGCTTCAGTGATTGGAGGTGGTGGTTAGCATGAGGCTTTGGTCAAAACAGCCTGCGATTAAAAAGTCGAATTGGTGCATCTGAATAATTCTGCCACTTTTTTGTTGTTGCTATTCATTTGAATGAATATGAAATCATTGTACATTGCTGTTTCACTCATCACTTTTCTAATTCTGAACTTGTAGTAGGGAAAGTGTTTGTGATTTATTATTGGCCTTTTACTGAATCACATACAGTACTGTATTCCTTTTTGATTGTTTTGTAGATATTTTGTAAACAGTACAGTTTTTAGGAAGATTAATGTGTGAGAATCTTAGAACTAAAGCCTAAAACCTAAGCGTAACTAAAAAATATACAGTGGGTACGGAAAGTATTCAGACCCCCTTAAATTTTTCAATATTCATTAAAAATGTAAGGGTGGGGGGCGCTCGTGAGCAAAGCATGGCGTAAGTCGCGTTTTTGAGAGCTCCAGCAGAAACGTAATTATTTCAAGAGCAATCGCAGAAATAATACATTCTAAAGGTATGTGAAAAGGTAAATGTGAGATACCGTTGATGCTTTAAAGACGACATCAAAAGATACTAATATGACAGCGAAACTCAGAAAATTCAAGTACGACGGTACCGGGAATTCGCGGCCTAGCGACTCGACTGGAAAGGGATCCGTCAACCAATCCAGCCAAACCCTCTTCTCTCGTCAAGGTGAACACAGTGAAACTGACATGGACATAGATGTGTTGAAATCCGAAATCCTGACCTCCATAAGAGCAGAAATCGGCTTGATAATGCGATCGGAAATTAAAGCAGTTCTTGCAGAGGATTTCGACTATTTGAAAAACGAGTTACAAAAAATGAGGTCGGAAATAGCTAATAATGCATTTGAGAGCTGTGAAGATACAGAGGGAAGGATGAGGAGAAACAAAGTCCGGATCGTGGGAGTGGCTGAAACTCCAGGCTCAAGTAATATGGCAGCGGTATGCAAATTGCTTCAAGAAGCGCTTAATATCGAAAGAGAACTACAGATTGACCGCTCCCACCGCAGCCTGACACCTAAACGACCAGGAGGAAATCCACGAGCCATTATTGTTCGCATGCACTATTATCAAGATCGAGAGGAGATTTTAAAGAAAACACGAGAGATGGTGCCACTAAAGTTTAATGGACACCCAATAGCCATCTTCCCCGACTTCACAGCTTGAAAAACGAGTTACAAAAAATGAGGTCGGAAATAGCTAATAATGCATTAGCTATGCGCACCAAATTGGACCGAGTGAATGTTACAATAAAGGACGTAGAGGAAGGTCTGTCAGCATGGTCAGATGAAACTACAACACTGCAAACAAAGGTGACTAAACTTGAGAGCCAAGTGAAATTTCTCGAGGAGAGCTGTGAAAATACAGAGGGAAGGATGAGGAGAAACAAAGTCCGGATCGTGGGAGTGGCTGAAACTCCAGGCTCAAGTAATATGGCAGCGGTATGCAAATTGCTTCAAGAAGCGCTTAATATCGAAAGAGAACTACAGATTGACCGCTCCCACCGCAGCCTGACACCTAAACGACCAGGAGGAAATCCACGAGCCATTATTGTTCGCATGCACTATTATCAAGATCGAGAGGAGATTTTAAAGAAAACACGAGAGATGGTGCCACTAAAGTTTAATGGACACCCAATAGCCATCTTCCCCGACTTCACAGCAAAGGTTGCAAAGGCTAAAGCAGCATTCACAGAGGTGAAAAAGCATATCAACAACCGGCCAGACATTCGCTATGGATTCATCTATCCTGCCAAATTGCGGATCACATTCAGTGGCGATCAAAGAGAATTCATTGACCCAGAGAAAGCCATGGCTTTTGTGATGAACACCATCACAACAAGTTCATAAAAACAGCAAGGATGTAATCGTAGCTCCACGGGCTAGGGATTAATCATCGAGTGGATGATTCACAAAGACACAAAGACTAACATATGCAAAATAATGAATAATTATCCACCAGATTAAACTGATGAAAGTATGCATGTTTTTGGACTATAATTCTGTGGAGGAATGAATGATGGACTAATGAAAACTGTCACTGCCATTGTCAATTACATAATGATGGTAGGATAAATTACCTGTTTTCTAGAAAAATGTTGATGATTATGTTTAGCTAAGGCAGCAATAGTTTCTGCTTAAATCATTCTGAGTAAAATATGTCTCTGGAGCTCAAGGGTATTTACATCTAACCCCTGTACTAGAATAGGCGAGTGTCATCGCCTATTATTAACCTTAGAATGGTAGCCTAAACACAGGCATACAGCCTAGAAACTCTTAGTTTGATTTAGTTTTCTTGATTTGTAAAGTGATATTTTTCCTACTTGTTAAATCCCATGTTCTCTTTGGGATGTGTTCATGCTTTGTTCTTGTTCTTCAGAGATCATGATAGGGACCAAAGATTGAGGTATGACAGTAACAGCAGTTTTATTTGCTCATTCTTGGTTAGCAACCCCCCCCCCTTTTTTTTTTACAGAGGCATATATACTCCTATATGTACACAAATGTATGTATTGTTACTCTCCTTAGACTTTTCGTGCCTTCAGATTTATTCTTGGTATCATATACAGGTCAATGGGTCCGTGTAAGGTAATAAGTTATAATATAAATGGCCTTCATAGCCCCATCCAAAAAAAAAAACAATTCTCAATCTGCTGAGACAACTCCAATGACAGAGATCATTTTTTCAAGAAACGCATTTATCAGATAGAGAACACGAAAAATTTACAAAGTCCTGGGCGGATAAGGCTTTTTATTCATCTCACAAATCAGGAAAGAGGAGAGTAGTCTGTATTTTAGTTCATAGAGGTTTGAACTTCACATCTTTTACAGTTCATAAAGACACTGAAGGTAGATTTATTCTAGTAAATGGTATAATTAATGGTTTGGAGGTCTCATTCATGAACGTCTATGCCCCTAACAAAGATGATCCAGATTTTATAAATAAAATATTTAGGGTTATCTTGCAACATAGTAAAGGAATGCTCTTGCTGGGCGGAGATTTTAATTGTCATGTATACAATATATGGATAGACAACCATCTCCAAAGTCCCCTCTTCCTCAACTTAAAGAAACCGGGCTAGTGGATATATGGAGACAAAAGTTTCCCAATATGAAAGATTTTACTTTTTTCTCTACTAGGCATTCATCATATTCACGAATTGACTATTTATTTACGTCAACATCAGAACTACATAGAGTAACAGATATTAAAATTTTGCCAATAACATTATCAAACCATGCTCCGTTGATGAAGTCATGGGATTTAGAATTTAGACCAATATCCAGGCAATGGAGACTTAACATATCTTTACTCAATGATAATGCATTTATAACATTTATAAAAAATGAATTACAATTCTACTTAGATACTAACACCACTCCAGATATATCACCACTAATATTGTGGGACTGTGCTAAAGCTTATTTACGAGGATGCATAATTATTTACGAGGACGCATAATTGCTTTTGGCAGTGCGAATAAAAGGGAAAGAGAACATAAGCAGCAACAATTAGAAAATACTATTAGGAAATTGGAACAACAACATAAATGGACTCCAACCCCTGTGTTACTAACAGAATTGACTGTAGCACGTAGAGAATTAAATGCATTACTTTCCAATGTAATGGAAGGTAGGCTAAGATTTGCCAAACAAAAATACTATGAATATGAGAACAGGGCTAGCAGACTGTTGGCTCTCCGCCTAAAGAAACAACAATCCACAAACATAGTATCAAAGCTAAAATCTAAGAATTCATCTACTCTCCTCACAAAACCTGAAGAGATTGCTGAAAAGTTTGCTGATTTCTATAAGTCCCTGTATAAAAATACTGATACATGTACAGATGATCAGGAAATAAAATGTTTTTTGGATAGTACGCAGTTACCACAATTAACAGAATCTATGAGATCAGAATTAGATAAACCCATTACAGAAGAGGAGATTTTGGAGATAATTCCGAGACTTAAAAATAATAAGAGTCCTGGTCCGGATGGTTTTTCAAATGAATTCTATAAGGCATTTAAGGATGCTATCGCCCCATTATTATTAAATGCATATCATAAGGCTTTGGATATAGGTATTTTGGCTCTCCTGGTCCGGATGGTTTTTCAAATGAATTCTATAAGGCATTTAAGGATGCTATCGCCCCATTATTATTAAATGCATATCATAAGGCTTTGGATATAGGTATTTTGACTCCTTCATGGAATGATGCTACAATAGTTGTCTTCGTATATTGACTTCTATTTTATCTCAACGGCTAAATAAAATAATTACTAATATTATAAACCCAGATCATATTCATATACAGGATTTATATGAAGTAAACTACCCCAAACTAATTAGATGTATTCATAGCGACCTACAAAGATGGTCAGAAACTCCTTTATCTTTTCTAGGCCGTATTGAAAGTATACGAATGAATATATTACCCAGACTCCTCTACATTTTTCAAATGTTACCTGTAGAAATTCCCAAGAGTGTATTTGTCAAGTTGGAGAAGTAGATTTCTAAATTTATTTGGACAGGGCAAAGGCCAAGAATAAAATATAAATCATTTCAGCTTATGAAGACTGATGGGGGAGTAGGTCTTCCAAATCTTAAATGCTATTATTGGGCAGCACAACTAAAACCAATAGAGGTATGGTTGAAGGATAATATGGAAACGCGTTGGTTAAACATAGAGAAAGGCCTCTGTCAGTATCCCCTGGTTTCACTCCCTTTCATAGATTTCAGCTGGGGAAATGTGATAATGGGTAAGTGGACAAGAGTTACTTTAAAAATATAGAAAAAGATACGATCTTCATTGAAAATTACTCATTACATTTCTCCTTTAACTAGTATAAGTACAATAAATAACTTTATACCATCTGCACTAGATATTGGTTTTAAAAAATTGGCAAATTATGGACTAAAGTTTATATATCAGCTTATTAGTA